ACCTATAGGTATAGGAGGGAGGTGTAAAAGCTACATCATCTCATCACACCTATAGGTATAGGAGGGAGGTGTAAAAGCTACATCTGCATCATACCTATATGTATAGGAGGGAGGTGTAAAAGCTACTACATACACATCATACCTATAAGTATGGGAGGGAGGTCTAAATGCTACATCATCCGCAGGAGCCTTCCATCAATCAGTTTGACAATGAAAAGAAAAAATTGTAATGAAATGCAAGTGTCTTAATAAAACTTATGTTGACAAAGCTGTACAAAAAATCTAAAGAAGTTGACAAATAATTTAATAAAGTCTAAACAGCAATTTTTAGCATGCTCAGCATCAACAGTACCTAGGTTTCCAAAATGTAATAATCTATTCAATTCCTATTGCTTCAACAGTTTGCAAGTGTAAACAAATAAATTCATAATATTTTATCAGAACGAAAATTGTAAGTGAACATCACTTATGAAGCAGGAACTGCAGCAATGAAGAGTCAATCAGAACACAAATTAGAGAAGAACTATTTACAGATAAGATATAAGCAACCAAAAGAAAATGTGTTAAAGAGCCTCATTTTTTAATTAGAAAAACTAACATATAACTAGTTTAAATAGCTATGTATGTGATCTAATTTAGAGTGTAAAAGTTAGGAAATGAGCAAAACTTTTGAACAAATAGGAGAATATAAAAAGCGTTTTTAGGAGACCGTTTTGGCAGAAAAAAATTTTTTATTTACAAACGAATCATTCTGAAACTTGGTAAACATATGTTAAACAGTATTCTAAGACTTTTATTGTTCATGTTAATTTAAAATGATGGACATGATGAGCACAATAGCACCTTTTTTTCCATAAATGAGAAAATGCGCTAAAAAAGGCTTCTAGAGTCACTAGGTATGGTCTTTACAAATTGAATGGTATGTCTTTCATTGCTGTAGCTTGAAACTGTTTGAGTTATTAGGTTTTAAAGATGTGTTTTTTGGATTTTTAAAATTTTTCAAGGGAGCCAAATAAGTAAAATTCATTGAAAAAAGAATATGCAAAAAAATTCTCGATATTGAAGCCCAAGCTTTCAAATTGCCAATTATTAGTGTTCAGGGTAACAGCACGTGTCTTTAGACTTATTCATGGCCAGTTTAAGGTGAATAATAAGCTATAAATGGGACGTTTTATGTATATATAAAATATTCATTTTTTATAACTTTACTACTCCATTATACAAAAATTATTGCATGTGCATCCATAGTAGTAGCTTTGTTGAACGTGTCTTGTTTGTAGCTTTCAAACAATGCAAATAATGAACTATAAATTCTATTTTTAAATGAAACTATATATTGAAAATATTGAATTAAAATGGTTATTTTATAAAAGTTTGAAACAGCCTTGCACAAGAACTATTGCATGTACATAAATGGTAGTAGCTTCGTTGAACGCATCTTGTTGGTAGCTTTCTAACAAATGCAAACACTTTGCCATTAACAAGCATAATGATCTATAAATATGGATTTAATTTGAAAAAATCTTTGTACATATTGCTTAAAAATGTTCAATCTACATATTTTAAAAAATTCTAAAAAAATAGAGCACACACATACATGTGGTTTGCTGCATTAGACGCACTTATTCAGCAGCTACAAAATAAGCTAAGAAAAATAAAAAAAGCCCAAATCTTCAATTTTCTACCAAAATGGTCCCCTNATGCTCTTCAGAAGGGATCTCCATACTGTAAGAAGGCAGCTCTCCCAGGGGTTTGAACAAAATTTTCCTTCTTCAATTTATGTAGAGATGAAGATGTAAATAGATGCATAAGATGTAAATGATGTAAATAAATAAGATGTAAATAAATAAGATGTAAATAGATGCATAAGATGTAAATTTATGTAGAGATGAAGATGAAAATAGAGATGAAGATGTGCTCTAATGCTCTTCAGAAGGGATCTCCACACTGTAAGAAGGCAGCTCTCCCAGGGGTTTGAACAAAATTTTCCTTCTTCAATTTATGTAGTTTCAATGTTTCAATTCAATCATTTTCTTATTTGTTAGCTTAATTGCAAAAATGTTGTAATATCTAGTTAATGATTCAAGTTGAGATAAAGATTAAGATGTGCTATGCAGCAACATATTTTCCCCCGTTTCTGATGATTTTCTCTCTAAATTCCAGATAAGCTTCTTCATTGGCAACATGGTTTGTGAGGCCGTAAACATGATATTCAAGTATATCATCAAGGAACCCCGGCCATTTGTTCGCCCATTTCAGTACACAGATTATGGCATGCCATCCTCACACTCCCAGATGGTGTGGTTCTTTGCTCTCTATGCAACTTTTTTTGTACTTTTCAGGTGAGCTTAAATTTATTTTTGAATTATTCTCAGAATAATTCATATAATATTCTGATTTGTAACAATTTATTTTTTACTGTAGCCATTATACTTTGAGATCCTCATAGAAATAGAGTCTTCAATTTATTTTTTCATTCCATTGCATTAATTTTAGAGTGTGATGTTAATACCAGAATGAATTCTATTTTTTGAGAACAGTCATCTATCTTCGTATTTTTTTCAGGTTGCATCATAATAGGGAGTCTATTTTTGAAGCTATTTGGAAGGCATCCATTATTGCTGCTGTCTTCTGCATTGCCAGTGTTGTTGTGTATTCTAGGTGAGTTGAACTCAAGAATCTTTTGGCTAAAATATTTTTTTAATGCTTGCTATTATTTTTAAAATGTTTATTGCATTCAATTTTCTATGGAAATGATTATCCTTGAGTAAGTTTTGGAATTATATGCAGTTGTTGGACAAAATAAGGGAAACTCTTGTCATTTTGATATCGCTATCTTTGAACATGTTACAAACAATGAAACGTTTCTGTTTTGTTGTTTATTTTTGTTGTTATTTCATATTTTATCCTTGCACTGATATTTTTAGTAAATTTTTGTTTACCAATCTAACCTATAACCGGCAAACCTCTCTGACTGTCAAAGAGGCCAAATTGTTGGTGCCCGTATGGCAGATGCTAGTGTGATATGTCTGGCCGAAAGTCAAAGTTGTCAGAGAGAGACCGTTGGTAGTACCTAAATCATGTTGTGATGAACAATCGAAAGTTCACGGCTGTGTAAAATTACTGCAGACCTCAATAGACACCTAC